TGGCTCCAGCTTGAACAGTCCCATGGTGACATCAGAACTTTGGCATCTATGTTAAAGCATTTTTTGTGTTATTGCCGTTATTTCAGAGAAAAGCTGATGATCTGGCATGAATGAATCTACTACAGACGTATCTGCTGGAGTAAGCAGAGAACTTTAAAGCTTTATGAGTTGTGAATTGCATCATTCATTTTTCATAGGTTATTAATTCTGAAACTTTTCTGTTGCCTACAGCAGTAGACTTGGATGTGTATGGGAGAAGTTCTTCAAATTGTAGGCAAAGAGACTTGAGTTCTGAAAGAACAAAAAGGAAAAATATAGCAAAACCCATGTTGGAACAAGAGTTCCAAAAGTGCTTAAAGAGGCTTGAGAGTGAAAGAAACACACAAAGGGTTTACTAGGCTGGAGTTAAACAGAACTAAGTAGGATTTAGAAATGTACTTAGAAAAAATAATCCTCAAAAGGAAGAGAACAGCATCCCTTTCCACCCAAAATCAAAAAGGAACACTATTAAAATGTTCTTAAACTTGTTCTTAAAGTATTTAGTTTCTTTTAATAACACTCATGATATGTTGGGTAGTCCAAAAGGATTGTGTGTGTATTGGCAAGCCACAGTAGCCTTTTGCATGCTCAGTCTTCATCTAAGTGTGTCTCAGATCTATGTGTGATAAACCTCATTTGCTAAATATGGGAGATAGATCTATTCTATAACACAGATGTTGAGTATGATGTAATGAGAAATCTCATTGTCAGGACCCTTTTACTAAGATATTTCTGAAATTTTGTGATTGCTTTTCTTCTGGATCTTCTGTACAATCTGCATTACCACTCATTTTATTATGGAACACTATTGGGAGCAAGCAGAAATAAAATCCAAGACCAGGCCTTTCTTTTCCATATTTTTTTTTGGATAATATTCTTGTTCAGGTACCGTGAATGGGAACATAATCCATCAAGAAGCATAGGGTTCAGCAGCCAGAGTCTGGAGCAAAATAATCTGGCACTGCTATTCTGGGCAGTGGATCATTTGTGGCTTTAGACAGACAGAGCACATGATCTTTCAATCTCAGTTTCCTTTTCTGTAATGTAGAGTGATGAGAATAATTTAATTCTTATCTGACACAATATTTCTATTTACTATAGACAGATGAAATGGTAAAATGGTATGGAAATAGCCTTAATGAGGATTGTTCAATATCAGATCATATCCATCATTCATAATTTAATTGTTTCAATTTTTTAGTGAACAAACTGAGTTCATAATTGAAGAGACCAAAACATTTAAAGGTTGGATTTGTATTCTGGAGAGTATTCAGAATTTCAAGAAAACTACCCCCCCACTGTTTCATTATGAGAAATATTCTAAAGGCTTTCCAAAAGTTTTGTCTTTATGCAGAACCACAGTCTGTTTATTTCTTCATGCCAAAGATGAGGTTTGGCACAGGATTGTCCCATAGCCTTGCCAAAAGCTCTCCTAAGAGCACACTCAGTTAGTTTATATTACTACTTTTGAGAAAGGAAACATTAAAGAACCCATATTTTTAATACAGTATAAAGGTCCTCTGAAGGCTGAAAATGCCTCCCTCTGGCTCCACCTCACTGCAAAGGACTAGGGTATGTGAGGGAAAAAGAAGTCCTACAGTCAAAGAGCTGCCTCTGTGTGAGGCCTGGGAGCAAGGGCAGCTTCACACTAACCCTCATTTCCCTGCAGGCTACGTTTTCAAAAAGTGCTTCTAAGTGTGGTTGCCCAAGTGGAGGCAACCATGGCTTCATTTTCAGCAAGTCTGGGCACTCTAACACCTGTTGATTCAAGTGAAGATGGACCTAGGCTGTCTCCTGCCAGTGTTTCCAAACTTCTGCAAGCTCAGGGTACTCAGTGTCAGGTCTGCCCCTCTCCCTCTGTGTCCCTGATGCACTGATGCATTGCCTTTGCAGCTTCTATAAAAGGTCACTAAGCCAGAGAAAGGCCATGGTTATTCTATTTATATTATTATTATTATAGCTTACATATAACTTACATTTTCTCTGCTCTTATATCGGTATAACCCGTAACTGATGTCTGGAACCTTGGGCCTCTCCCTGCTACTTAGAAGGATGCACCAGGGGTAATTTTTAATTTTGACTTTGGTATTGTCTTATATATTTGGGAAAGAGAGATTTGAGAGAAATCGAATAATTGTCTGCTAACTCTGCTGCAAAGAGACTGCTGATCACCAAACTATTTCATTTAAATGCAGAGGGTTTATTTTTTACGCTTCTATGAAGTCTTGAAATCTGAGATAATACAAAATTTGAACAAAGAAGGCTATTGTCATAGAAATGACCGAGTCTGTAGGCATGCACAGAGTGAGAGAGCATTTTAGGTGATTTTATGATGATCTGTGCTTTGTAAAAGAAAAATGTGTGTATGTGTACCCCTGCATCTGTGTATGCATTCATCCACTCAGAACTCAGACTGTCCATTAGAAATGGAAGCCAGCTGTTAAAGCTGTCACCCAGCTGTGTATCTGCCTCCTCCTGGGGTGTCCATTCAACCCCACAGGCTGCATGGGGCAGGCACAGTCAGCTATCAGAGAACTCAGCTGAAGCACAGAAGACACTTTTTTTCCATTTGAGTTCCCCACACCATATGGCAGCCAAATTTAATTTTCAAATATGCTTTTTCCCCCCTAATGAAACTGCCACTTCCAGAATTTCATGTTTAATCATCTTGTTCAACCACAATGCTTCTTCTTCCTCCTAGGGAGGAGTCCAAAGAATTTTCATTAGTTGGCTGAATATCTAAATGTTAGGGATGTCTGTAAAAAAATCTGCATATTAAATCTGAATGTCCAGTCTTGCATCAATGGGTTCCTTTTTCTTTCCTGTAAGAATAGCTGTCTTTGAGACCTATCAGAGTTGCACCATTGTGGATCAACCTTCAGTGTCCAGGCTCTTAACACTTTTTATTGAAAGTTAACACTGGAGTTACAAAGCATTTCCAGTATGATGTGAAACTGAAGCCATGCTGAAAATTCTTAAAGTATTCAAAGAGGGGGTTATTTTACAATCTGCAATTATGCTGAATACTGGTGTTTCTGGGCAGAGTAAAAGTGGAAAACTTTAATGGGTAGGTCCTCCTGTCATAACTTCACACTGATACTCAGATGTCAGTCTTTGAAGAGCTTCATCCTCTTTTATGCTGTAAATATTTTGTTTAGTTAACTGGCTGGAGGATTTAAAAGGAAATCAACATGTTCTGTAGACTCAAAGTGAGGACTGTTTATTTGTACATTCTGACTGCCTGCATATTACAGGCCAAAAAATATTCCTCTGTCACATCTGCACTGAGCCCAATTCCTTCCATGTTTGATTAAAATGTTCCCTATAAATGTAAACTTGTGAACACAATTTCTTTTGTACTGATGTTGATTTTGAAAAACAGTTACTCTGAGCTTAAAATTAATAAAATACCATATCCTATGGTACTGAATTCTCTGTTTTTCTAATGAGGCACTAGCTCTAGTTGAAACCTCTCCAGTGTCTAGGAAATTCCCAACAGCACAACACTAGTAGATTCTCTGAAGCCTAATAGGTTATGTTCATGCTAAACCTTTAATTTATTAGGGTTAAAATTCTTATTAACACCATTCTGTTCACATCCAATGATTATCCTGCCTGTTGTTAAGAACCTAATTGTTTTTGAGGTGCCTGTTTTTATCAGATGTAGTTGGAATTGGTGATCTTGTCCAAAATATTATTGAAGGGGTAATATGCATGGGAGCCCTCATGCAGCCAAAGCTTGACTGCATGAGATCTGCTTCCCTAGGAAATCTGGCACCTGTTAGACATATCTGAAATTCTGTGGATTTTTGGTATTCTATTCTCACTATTCATTAGAGGAGGAGAGATAAAGTTTCATCAGATGCAAATCATCATTCCCAGAGGACATCAGCAATGACCGATGGAGCAATTTCTTTCTGACATTCTGGCTCTTTCTGGGGCTGTATTGCATCATGGTGGGTCTTTGATATATGTGTTTGAAATACACTGGCCTGATAGACTGGAAACGAGAGTTAGTAAATAGTTTAATTTTTTGTCATGTTTTCAAAGTACTTCCTTATGTCAACAGCCAATGGGCAGGATGCAAGTGAAATGCTGAGACTCTGTTTGCCTTGACATCTGTTTGTATTTGCTATATCTGAAGATGCTCCTAGATCTTGTTACAAAAATACTTTTCATTTAGAAATTCAGACCTCCTCTGATGTAAGCCCCAAACATTTCCATTTCTAAGTGCAAGAAGTTGATCCCTATGTAATTATGAAGTGATGCCAGTTTCTAACCACACTACCTTACCTACCCTAGTCCTTTGGAAATGTTTTACTTGCAACAACTTTATATACCAAACATGTTTGTTTAATGAAAATGTTGTTATGATAACTATAAACAACATATTTTTTATATGACGAATGTTTTCATGAAGTTGGTTTCATTTTCACAGGTCACTGCTTCCTTTTCAAGCCTCACAAACAGTTTTCTCAATCATTTTGGGCACTGAGTTGGTACCTCAGCACTTGGATCTGTGTCATATGATTTGATCTTCTTTTCAGTGTTCTCCTATTTGTCCCTGTCCATGTGCTGTTTATACTGACACTTTTTTTCCCTTCATGTGTCATTTTATGACAGTGTTTCTCCATGATGTGCTTGCTAAAATAAGTGAGATATCTGGAGAAAAATTAGACTCTTTTTGTGGAAAAAAAAAGTCTGATCAATAGGCTACCTAGAAAGTAAGTAGTTGTACTTTTTCTGATTTCTTATGTGTGTGTTGTTATCTTAAAATCTACATTCATTACTTTATCTACAACATAAAGCATATTTTGTAAATGAGCTTAAACACTCTATCAAATTGTAATTATTCATGAATAGTCTCTCTTTATTGCTAATGATATGCATCACACAGAGTTTGATATACTGGTTATACAAATAAAGTTCATCTGAGGTAACACAGTTTATTCCTTTCTCAGGCATCCAGCCTGGATCTCAGCTGCAAAGTAAGTACCTCTCCACATCTCATTACCAAAATAGCAACCTTCTTAATCCTTTGCTGTGAAGAACAAAGGTTCGATTCAGTCTCTGGAGCAGAAATAGGATCTTATTAATGCACTGGCAACTACAGTGTTGTTATTTTTGTTAGAAAAGAGAGAAACAGGAATTTGCTGATATATGTTAGATTAAGGGCTGTTATTGTTTTGAGATTAATTGGATTGTTAGCTGGGCCTTTCCGATGTCAGCTGAAAATCTACAAAATACCTTGCAAGTTATTATTCTGGATGAGATCAGGAGCTACTTCCTGGAAATTCACTTCTATTCTTTGTATTTGTTCTGAAAGAATCACTGAGGCTATCAGTTAAATGGTGTATTGTTTACTGTGCAGGGAGAAAAGTTATTGAGTCGGTCTTGCCTGGAGTGCTGGCCCTGCTGGACTCAACCCACTTGCCATCCAGTGGATTAAAGCTGAGACCCAAGCCACCAGCAAGGTACCTCCTGCTCAGCCTTTGGGGAGGTCTGTGCTTTGGCCAAGTGTCAAGGCTTGAACGTGTTACAACTGACACATGAATTCACATTTTGGAGTGTTAGAGCTTCAGTGATGTTTTATGGAGTCTTTTCTTTCTTTCAAAATATTTGCTGTCATGTAGTGTTGGGCTGCAGTGGGCTGTAGCATTTGGGATCCCTGTGGAGTAGACTGTCTCGGCAGCTCATCAGGATAAAAGTTGAAATTAGGATTGCAGAGAAGAGCCAGAGAAATTCCTCTTGGTGAATTAAATGTTGTTGAGCTCGAGGACCTGGAAAAGGGTTAGTGATGTATCTGGGTGAGCTCCCAAATTGGTATGAATGACAGGCATAGAAGGTATTGCTCAGAGCAAAAATAAATGCAGTGTAACTGATCTGTTGAGACCAGCAAACAGTTTCTGGAAATGACTGGTGCTTGATAATTTTTAGTGATAGGCAAATGGCATACTCCAAATTACGTGTGGTCCATTGTGTAATTCTGTGTGGGTGTGGACCTTTGCAGGTTATTGGCCTATGCCACCTGGCACAAAATGTGTTTGTTTAAGTCTTAGCATGTAGAACTTTGGGTGTTTGTCTTCATGTGTATGTGAAAGGTTCAGGGTTAAGTGAGGGAGAACGAACCAGAAACTGAGATCAGCAGAAGCATTCTGGATAACTGTTCCCAGGCCTGAGTAATGAAGACCAGTAAGATGGCATTTGCAGTGAACCTCAGCTCTCTGCTTCTATTCCTCATGGTTAGGACAAACCCTGTGTTTGGCCTCCAGGAGATATGACAAGATATGTCTATTGATGGAGTATGTAGTCTGAGACTTGTGGCTTGAGTATGTGAGCTTTTATTTGTGAGTGGGAAGAGATTTCTGAGCGCTAATTCTAAGGCAATTATGTAGTATTAATTGCTAATTTATCCTGATTGTCCATGTCACCAGAAGGCTTTAAGTATCAAGTTCTGATAGAACAAGAATGTTTGAAGTACCAGTAGGGATATTTGGGCCCAAGCCTGTTCTCTGTTATACCACTGCAAAGTTGGGATACTTGTATTGACTTCTGAGTGACAGAGCAAAGCAGGACTGGACCTGAGAGACGAAGCTGTGAGTTGCCTGTGTGTGCCTTGGGCAGTGAAGCAGCTGACTGAAGAAACAGCTCATGTACTGCTTGCATTTCCCCTTGATGATTTCCAGCTGTCCTCTTATCCCTGGCATGCAAAACATTAATTAGTTTCAGCTTATGAAAATAAGTGAGAGGCAGTGTGTGCTACCCACCTTATAGTGCTGCACATAAACAAGACACTGCAAACAATGAATTGTGATCACAAATGCTAAGTGACGTTGTTATTAAGCCAGGGGCTGAGTAAAAAGAAAGTTCCTTTGTTGCTGAACATAGTCTAGATGGTTTCTCAGCCTGTGCAATAGAGGAAGACATGCTTACATGTGGGAGATCAGTGTGTATTGCATCTAGACTATATATCACAGTGTCACAGAAATCATGCTTTCGTTTCTCAGTATTAGCTGAGGCAAGAGAAAGAAAAGAGCTAAATAGGACAGTAAATGAAGAAGGCAGTATTTATGTTTTTTTCAACCTGTAAACATATATTGATAGAATATTAAAAGTTTGGGGGGTTTTGTCATTATAGTTCTTGCATGTTTTCAGATTAGGATTCCTAGATGGTTTGTCAGAGTATATGAAGAATTTGTAGGTATAAAATGTATCCAAAGAATTCACACACCTTAATTTTCAAACCTGTTAGTTTATTGTCACAACACAAGACCGACTAAATATATTTTTATGCTGCTGCAAAAGATCTGCCACTACCCAGGCTGAAAAGAAAGTATTAGCAGAGAGTAACTGAAATCAAGAGATGCAGGAGAAAATGCATTGAGCAAAGCATAAAAATCCCAATGTCTTAACACCATTGCTAGTCCTAAAGAAAGATTTTCTGAATTGGATGGAGTGCTACAGACTCTGTTTAAAGCAAATTGAAAAGGACAAACTCAAATTTAAGTGTATACTAGAGACAGTGGACAAGGTTATGCAAAAGTTGGAATATGTATGGATGCTGCAGTCATGATGGAAGAATTTCTGCAAAAAGGAAAAGAAGGTGTTGACAGGCTGGTGTTGCCCAACTAGAAGTGTTGTATAAGCCTGGAGAAATTATCCCTATGATTTAAAAATATAAATAATAAATGAACTACAGATACTTGCATGGACAAGAATGAGTCTGAACAAATATACTACTAAAAAACAAAGATTACTAAGATTACTTGGAAAATGAATCATAGTGGGGTCATCAAAAACCAAAATTAGATGAATTGTGGTTGAAAGATTAAATAGGTTTTTTGGTTTTGGTCATAGAATGTAATTGGGATGAAGTTCTGTTATGGTGGTGGAGGAGAAAACTGAGACAAAAGAAGGAAATGTTTGGAAGGGAGAAGTTACTTGTATGACTTCTCTGTCTTACATTTAACTCCTGATGCCATCTGAGTTCAGAAGTGCTGAAGATATCCAAGTAGGTAGTTTCCACTTGATCTATTGCATTAACCTAGATATGCAGTGGGTAGAGGTGGCAGACAAACTTACTGTTATGTGTTTTGCTGTAAAAATGGTGAGCGAAAAGCAGCCCAAGATCTAGAAAGGGCTGGAACAGACGTGATGGAACTGCACAGTAGGCTGGGACTGTAGCTGAAAGTGGACAACATTCAGAAGCAATCCAGTTGTTATCTCCCATTTCTGCATTTTACTATAGAAAGATAAAGCAATAGGATTTTTGTGCATTGTAGAAAGTTTAATTCTATGAAAGCATCTGGTGTTTATCTAATTGCTAAGATGGGCACTGTTGTAGGAAATCTCATGTGTTGCCTATGATCTTAATCAGAGGGTTTTCAGACCGCAGTGTTGAATTTAAATATGCCTATCTTGTCCATTCAGTAATACTTTGTGAGGTGATGGTACTCCTTGTCACCCTCCAGGATATGGGAAATTACATTAATGAAAGGAGTTTGGTAGAGCACATGTGGTTTTATGTTTTCTTGAGGAGACAAATCCTGAAGGAACACATGCTTTTGAGCAGGAGATCCCTCTGTCTTCTTAGTGGAGCAAGACTTATTGTGAAGTCAGAAAAGTGTCAACCAGGAAGAGTTTTGATACTCAAAATAAGGAATAATCATATCAATCCAGAAAGCAAAGGAAACTACCATGCTCTGGCAGTCTTTCCAAGTTAGTGAGCAAAGCCAGCCTTTACTGAACTGTGAGAATATTGCTCAAGATCATCCTGCATTTCTACTCCTAACTGTTTGAAGGTATGTCTACTCAGAGTTTGGCAGGCACATATGAACTGACTCTGTCCATGTTCCAGGCTGGCTGGGTGAAAGCTGCCTGGGAATGGGAATCTGTGTAGCCATCATTAGTATGTGGCTGAGCCTGAACTGGTAAGTTCTGCTGGGAAGCAAAGTATATTAGTTTGGGATAAGAATTAGCAGGTTGCAGTTACCAGACTTTAGGATCAGAGGCAGCTTCTACCAGGGCATTTTGGAGCATTTGCAGATGGAATTGCATCTTTTTGTGAATCTGCCATGGAATTACATCCTTAATATGTTAAAAGGGTTAGCCAGATGTGATCTGGAAAAATGGTGCCCTAAAGACAGGACATTTTAAAAAGAAATTTTGAGTAAAAATCCAGTGCCAAATTCCAACTTTAGCAATTTGCTTTTGGGTGCTTTCTCTCAGGTCTAAGGATTGATGTATGCTAGTGTTAGAGGGAAAGACACAAAATTGTATATTTGAATCTAAACCCAGCTGGTCCATGGAAAGGACTGTGCACAAATGAGCACCTTGCAGTAATAGCTGCCTGAATTAAATGTCCTTCCCTATACAGTCCATTACACAAAACACTTGTTCCTTTGTTTACAACGAATGGAAAGTGCTAATGGCAGCTGATTTATCTGATGTCTCAGGCTTCTGAGTCACTTAGGTACTTTTGAAGATGTTCTCTTTCAAATTAATTTCTATAATTTATTTCCATGCGTCTGATTTTCAGAAAAAAAGCTCTGTTCCTAATAAATTCATGAGTGTTTAAAAATTATTTTGTCCTTAGCCTCAGGAGTCCATTAGTTGCCGTGTTCTGGAAGCAAATGAAAACAATGCGTTCTGTAGGATATAAAACTATTTCTAACTGTGCCAGTGGATCACTGCAATCATTAGGTTAATACCAACTATTATCATCCAGGATGCTCATCTGGTTTTACTGAGCTTTGTTAACAAAATGGAAATTATTAAAGTCATCCTGTCTGTCCCTCTAAAGTTCTGCCTGTGAATGAGTCACTGTTTTACAAATGGGTGTTGCCAGACACTGATATTGAATACGGCTCCAGCCATCAGAGCTCTGGGTCCAGCACAGCATTCTTGGAGTCCAGACTGGAACACTGAAATTCCCATTGAAATCTGTGGGAATTCTGCATGGCCAAAGCCCAGCTACCTTTATGGCTGGCTGAGGCAGCTTAGAGAGAGCTGTAGTTCTATGCATGTAGTAGCCTGGGGACTCAATATGAATTTCATGCATCTCTTCACTTAGTCACTTGAAACCCAAGATGGAATTGAGGATACCACATTCCACTTAGGCTTTGTTTGCTTTAGGTCAGCTGAGTGCCCACTGCTGCCTCTGGACGTGACACCTTCCACCCCACTGGCAGAGCTGCTGCTGTGGTTTCTCTGCTCCCTGGACACAAGAATTATTTGCACAGAGCAGTGTGTCAGCTGCCCTGCCCTGCCTGCTGCAGTGGTCTTGGCTGGCTGCACCAAGGGTGAAACATGCTTCAGCCTTTTCACAGACGTGGAGCTGTTTGCATGTCCCTAAACTAAAGAGCTCCCAAAGATCTTCTTGTGGAGCTGCTCACAGTAAGCTGTGTCTTATGGGCAAGGTTGACCCAATAGTTAATTCTGCTTGTTTGCCTCACATATGAGACAAGGATTGAAT